AAATTGAAATTGACCGCTACTCAAAGGTTATACTATGCAGGTAATGAAGCACTGATGCGACTCCCTCCCTGAAACAGCTCGTACTCTTCTCAGCAGAACAGCACTCCAGCCACAGATGTAAGCCCGGCCGCATGCGTGCCGACACTAACTGCCCGACATCACTAGCAAAGAGGTATGACAATCCTACTTTGCATATCTTAACTCACTTGGCTATTCATATGGTCCCTGATTAGAAGAGGACCTGTTGAGTTGCAGTCCCAGTTTGGAGTGTCAGAAAGCAAGACTTAAGAATGACTGGGAAGAACTGGAGGAGGAAGCCTTAGTGCAACATGCGAGGGGTTCGAGAACAAGCTTTGGGCCTCTATCCGCGCCCATGGGGGGGGGGGATATTCTGAAATTCTGAAATGTGATTGTAGCATTTCGTAGCACATAATGTTAGCAAACATGCACATAGATGCACATTGTCATTCACAGCTGAGAAGCTACAGAAACATTGCCATGAAGTGGCGCCCATATTTTTGGGACACCCTGTATATATTTCGCGTTCAATAATGATACAGCCACGTATGAATTTCACCGAAGCTCATCTTCTATAGCACTTCAGGAAAAGCCTCATTGTCAGTATGAAAAGTGTGTCTTAATCGGACCATGACTTCTAGACCAACAGCAAGCTCCTTCTCACAAGCATGGAATTTTCCCCTCCACTTTTCAGAACAGTTCACTCTGCCTATATTTCAAAACGATACAAGCGATTGCTTTCTACGGCTCGCTGACGCCTCAAATTGCTTGTTTCTTTCATGAATCTACCTTACCGTAAGCCCCATATGGTTTTCCATTGGATTCGAGTCAGGACTTTCAGCGAGCCAGGACAAAAGCGCGATTTGCTGCCGATTAAACCAAGACTGGGTGCTCCGGCTGACGTGAATTGGGGCATTACACTGCGTGGATACGAGGTTCTGCCGCCGATTCTGACGCCGAAAAGGAAAAAGAGCACGGCGTATTACGACTCGATAAGCGGACAGTTAGCTTCTTAGAAGCAAAACATAGGTGGAGACGTTTACGAGATCGCCGCCTATTCCAAGACTTCTCCTCCCTTGAAGTTTCCTGAGGGAATTAAAGTTTAACCCTTCTCAGATCGTGCCAGAATTGGACGCCATCTGGGCCATCACAGTCAAACTATTTTTCATAGTAAGGAAGCAACATGGGAACGAAACATCAAGAAAAAGGAAGCGTAAACTACAAGAAATGAAGGGCACTTCACTTCAAACGGGTCGGATACAATTCCTAGCAAAAGCGACCCGGTTGTCACGATGCTTCCCCATCATAAATGGCCCCATCCGCATTTTCCGCCCAGTGATAAACTCAAGGCTTCTTATCACGTTCCAAACAGTAACCCACGAGACATTGAACTTAAAAGAAAAAAATTTGCTGGAAAAAATGAAGGTGGAAATAGTCCATGTTCTTGAGATGAAACTTGCTGTTGGTCTACAAGTTACAGTTCGAATAGGGCACACTTTCCATACTGCGTCTTTTCCTGTGTTGCCCTGAAACGTGAGCTTTGGTGAAACTATAGGTGGCCGTATCATTACTCAAAACAGCGTGCGTATATACTTAATAATCTATAAAGCATGTACGCAGCTATGTTATGTAATAGGTTGGCAAGAAACCTCTGCAGCAAAAAGAAAGTCGTCTTGATTTTGTTCTAAAATTTTTCCAATACATCAAAAGCATATTCTATAGAAATACCTTAATCGGAGAGATCAACAGCTCTCCTTATGGTTAAAGCGAACTGCCGATGCCCCCTTTCCAGATGTCATGGTGCCGAACGTGTTTTCCTAATCGCGTTGGGCAAATGTAGGGGTTCATAGCGAGGTTGACGGTTGGCTATATAGCCTGTTTTCAGCAACTCGTAACGGATGAGTTCACTAATATCCCATTAAGCCATGAAACGATGCTTGCTTTTTCCAAAAGCTAGTATCTCCTGCGGTGTGGCGGTTTAACCAATTGTTGACTGTTGATCGATGTACAGCGAAACAATTGCTGACCTTTTCAGCCGTTACACCAGCGTTTTTACAATGGCCTGCTTAGTAGCAGATGGTGATCCGAATTTTGTGTTGTCCAGTCATCGATAGTAAAGTGGCGAACGCCCACATAAAAACCCTTTTTTACTCATGCGTTGATAGCAAGCCAAATGTCCTAGTAGTTTACACCTTTTGCTATTCTGTTCACAATGTTCGTGCAAAATTTTGCGCGTCTCGAAATTCTGGTCGCAGAACTTTCTCGTCAATCTTTTACGTGGTATGTTTGCAGCATGTATCCGACGAGAAAATCTTGAGCCAAGTGACACTCTTTGTTGTTTTAATTTTTATTCAGCATTCGATGGGATTCACTCAACAAAGTAATCACTACGGTCACGTCACTGTCAAAACAATGTCCCATGTAATGGGCTGGTCGGCTGTCGTCTTCACTCAGAATCGGGGGAAAGGGCGGGGGGGGGGGAATTCAAGAATTGACATGCTTCTTAGCTAGGGAGACGAAAAGAGCCAAAACAATTGGTAATCGGATTATGCAATGCAAATGTAATAGGAAGGTGGGAACACCTCCTCCGTCTAGTTCCTTCAATTTGTACAGGTCTCTTTGGTTGCTGGGGCCCATCATTATGGTGGAGTAGGTGGACAGAAGCCCGTCTTCGCCTTTTTTCTCGAACAAATTTCTGGAGCTGAATGTCGTAAATGTTACCAGTGACCGCTCGTCTGGGCGCGAGCAGGTCGTAATACCGTGAATCATAGAAGCATTCTTGGCTTGTGTCGGTGGGTCTACAGGACACAACGCGTACTAGGATCGTAGCCGACCTAACTCTCATCGCCACTGATCAAATCTTCCAGGGTCTTCTTCTGGTGCGGGAGGAAGGAAAGATTGACAGTGGATGCCATGGATAAACGTGCATTTTCGAATGCTACTTGAGAGAACCTCCAAGCCTTTGGCTCCAGGAAGTTACCGCTTCCTGGAGTCAAGGGCCTGGAGGTGACTAAGAACTGTTGGATGGGTACGCCCGAGCCTGTTCTCGATACAGCGCACGCTAAGCTTAAGATCCCCTTCGACAGCGTTGAGAATGGCTAATTCTTTCACACTGAGAGGCTTGCCTTCGAAGCTCGTGTCATCTCCTTTGGAACGAGCGAACCAGCGTTTGACAATGCTGATCGAAATTATGTCTTGTCCCAATGCGCTGTTTATGTTACGTTTACGAACGGTGGCCTTCGCTTCCGTTCGTTAACGTAACATCGAACCGCGAAGTCATTCATAGATGAAGATGGTTCGAAAGTCCTCATGTGGAATTTAATCGTGATTGGGATCATTACATATAAATTCATGTATATATATATATGTATGTATGTATGTATGTATGT